AACTTATTTTCTTCATAAACTATATCACATATACACTCAACTATAAAAATCAGAGACTGCATACGAAACTGTCTCATCAATTTCAATTTATTCAATATGATTGAGTGAATAAAGTTATACTTTCTGAATTTGTCCACTTGAAATATTTCAATCGTTACATTAACATAAAATATCATCGAAAATATCTAGAGCACAAAACTTTTACTTGCGTCAACATCGAGAAATTTATGTCTACAAATATCGCAATCAACTGATCAAAAACTACCAATGATATGAAAGAAAAAACAAAAAGTTACACGTTGGCTAACACATCCGTCATTTTCTCTTCGATAATTCATTTCACAATACAAGAAAGAAAAATAAATCTATCAAATAAATATCTTACATATTTAATTGTTTATTAAATTTTTTTCTATTTTTTTGTACTGTTTGAATATATTTTTTAAATTTTTCATATTCTCTTTCATTTTGTTCAATAATTTTTTTTGATTTTTTTTCATTTCTTTTTTCATATGAAATAAATATATCACATTCTTGACGATCTCGACAAGCTGAACAAGCAAAAAATTTTGATGTTAATGAATTAAATAATAATGTTGGACCATGTACACATTTTGGATGATTTATTTCAATATTTTCAGAAAAATCAATTTCAATCGAATGTTTAGTCATATCATCTACAAAAAAAAAAATATTAAATAATTTAAGAAAATACAAAAAATAAAATATATATATATAGAAAGTTAATTTAGACACGAGGTTCAACTTGTACAAAAGCACCGTGTTCAGAACGAAGAATAATTTCAAATGAAAGATTTAATTCATCACGTGTTTGAGATGTTTTTAATTTAAATCGTCTTAATATCCATGATAACACAGCTTTTTCTTCTAACATAGCAAATCGTTGTCCAATACAATTTCTTGAACCAGCTGAAAATGGTACAAAAGCAAATGCCGATCGATCATGACTATTTTCAGGTAAAAAACGATCCGGATCAAAACGATCAGGATCAAGAAAATGTTTTGGATCACGATGAATATAATAAATAAATAAAACAGCTGTTGAACCTTGTAAAATTTTATAACCATCTAAAGAAAAACGAAAAAGTTCTTAGTTCAATTTCGATGAGATTAAAATATTTTAAAAAGAAATATTGAAATAAACTTACTATACATAAAATCTTCTTGTACTTCACGTGCAATAAATGGAACTGATGGAAAAAGTCGAAGTGTTTCCTTAATAACACATTCTAAATAATTTAATTCATTTAGATCTTCCATTGTACATGGACGATTATGATCATTTTCTAAAATTTTTAAAATTGAAAAGAATTCCATCGAGACTCTTTTAATATTTACCAAAAACTCTATCGATTTCTTCATGTAATTTTTGTTGAACTTCCGGATGTAATGCAATCATAAAACAAGTAAAATTAATTGCTGCTGCAGTTGTATCATGACCCTTAAATATTCAAAAGATTTAATAAAAAAAAATAATGAATTTTATTTTTATTTTATACTTCAAACATAAATGTATCAACTTCTTCTTGAATATCAAGAAGTGTTAAATGTTCATCATTCATTTGTTTAAGAAGTAAATCTGAATAGAAAAAAAAATTTCGATTTTTTTTTTTTATTGAAAAAATAAATCTTAGAATTAAAAATTACCTAGAAATGCTGAACGTTTACCACGATTTTCATCAGCATGAAATTCTTGAGCACGATCATCAATAACTTTTTTAGTAAATTCATGAACAATCTTTAAATATCGATCATGATTTCGTCCTTGAGGTAATAATTTAAATATTAAATCAGGCCATAACCATGGCATACGTTGACGTTTTAATATTATATCTGTTAATCTAAAACAAAAAAAAAATATAAGTTTTTTTTTTTTTAATTATTTTCAACAATTTGATTTACTTCAAAACAGCATCAACATATTGTGAATTTTTTTGTTGTTGAGCACCAATATTTAAACCCATTGCAGCTTCTAAATTATTCGTAAAATAAATTTTACAAAGAACAAAAAAGAAAAATTCTTAAAAAACAAAATCGACTAACCACAAATAATATCGAGAGCACATGATGCAATATATGGATATAAATTAACTTCTTTTCCTGATTCAATTGAATTTAAACGTTGAACTAAAATAGCTGCTTGTTCATTATAGATATCAATAAAATTATTAAGTAATTCTTTATCATGAAATGCAGGTGTTATAATACGTCGACGATTTTTCCATTTTGCTCCTGAACTAAATATTAATGTGCTGTTTTTTGATTATCGGTTAAGAATAAAAAAAAAAGAAAACGTTAGGTTAGAAACTCGTACGCAATTAACCAAAGAGTTATGTTTTTTGTTTTTATACATATTATGAAAAAAATCTTCGAATTGATTAATTGCCTGTGAGTAGAGAGTATGTACATTATGAAGATCCCAATGAAAGAACACGAGTCTTAGCTTATCACTGCCGAGATAGTTCACTTTTATATTATTGTTTTCTATGGAAGTCGTGAAAATTTTTAGAAACATGGAGAAAACTTCTTGTTCGAATGTCAATTTGAAAAACTGGAAAGAGACAGGTTTTATCATCGAGCTTTTGATTGGCTTCTTATTTGAAATGACAACATCGAATCAATCAATGTATAGAAGTAATGTTAACGGTATGCATTTACTATAGAGACATCATACAATAGGTACCACAGATGGTTCAGGTTTTTCAAAATTTACACAAAACCAAAACCGAGTCCATCTGTGATAATAGGTACAACAAAAAGAGCTGAAACTTATTACAGTAAGCTACTCTTGTTAAAAGTTTTCACAACTTTTTATCGGTCAAACAATTTCTCGTGTTAGTCTTTGCTGAGTGTACTTTGAAAATTCTTGAGATAAGAATTTGAAAGTTGTTTTTTCACTGAGCCATAAAAGAAAATTTTTGTTTCTAACAGATCTTTTAATTGCAAACCAAACCGAAGAGTTTCATAATCTTTCTCAAGAATAATAAAAAGAGAATAGCAGAAGTTTTTCATATCATAAAAGACATGTTGTATTAAAAAGTCAAATCTTGTTTTAGCTCTCTTCTAAAAGACATATCCTGAACTTTAACTAACCTTGTTAATAAACCTGTTCTAAGCCATGGATAAAGATATACATAATCCGATGATTTTGTTAAATTTTTTGAGCCAATAAAAAAATGCTAGAATAAAAAATATACAGGGTGAACTATAAAAAGTATTACGATTAAAAAAAATCAAATATCTCGACATCTCTTCAATTAAATGAGCTGTGATTGAAAATAATTCTATTCATTGATAAACATATTGTTTATTAAAGACAGCTTTATTCTACAAGACGACATAATCCAAACGACAAAGTTTCCGAACAGTGACGTATCCAGGATTTTTCAGTATGCTGAATCTCAATTTCCGGGCACGGGACCCGGATGAAACTCATAGAGGGTGATGTTGGATCCAAATAATGGAATTTTATCAAAAAAAAATTTACACTAGGAGTTTGCGAAAAAAATTAGCATTTTCCTGATCCCCCCCTCGAGGATTTTTTGCTGTTAGTAGTATCATGTTTTTAGAATTTCATAGGAAGCTACACCAAATTTCATCGATAGATTTCAAATTTCGTCTGAAAATATGCAACCGTTCAAGAGTTATGACGATTTGAAATTTTGCAAAAATTGTTTTCACATATAGCAAAAACTCAAAAAGTTATAACTCTTGAACGGTTGCATATTTTTAAACGACATTTGAAATCTATCGATGAAATTCGGTGTAGCTTCCTATGAAATTCTAAAAACCATGATACTACTAACAGCAAAAAATCCTCGAGGGGGGGATCAGGAAAATGCTAATTTTTTTCGCAAACTCCGAGTGTAAATTTTTTTTGATAAAATTCCATTATTTGGATCCAACATCATCCTCCATCAGTTTCACCTGGGTCCCGTGCTCGGAAATCGAGATTCAGTATACTGAAAAATCCGGGATACGTCACTGTTTCCGAAACGAATTATAGCGTAGTTCACTATTACCTTTCGTTTTCAATTATCTTAAAACTCGGTAAACAACTACTGAGCGATCATTGCATCTACTAACAAGACTACATCGCATATGCATAAGGTATCATTAAATAAGAAAAGGTACCAACAAACGATCATGTTCGCAGCATTGGAAAATTGCTCATAGTGTATTAATGCAATATATCAAGTGATTAAAATGCAAAATGCACCGATTTAATCTATTTCTTCTATTATTACATGAAACTAATTTCTTCGAATATTAATAATTCTATAAAAGAAATCATTTCTAAGACTCGATAAATAAATTTTTCTTTGAAAATATATTTACAATTTATTTAACTGTAATATTGTTTGTTCTAATAGAAGAAAAAAAAAGTATAAAATAACAAACCTCAAGTCCAACTGGATGAAAAAATGCAATTAAAGGATGTGTACCAAGCCATAGACAATACAATGGTGTAGTTTTACTTTCTTCATAAAATGTATCAAGTTTTTGAGAAAATTCTACAAAAACAAAAACAAAAAAATAGAGAATCGTCTTACATTATTTTTCATAAGAATTTGTTTCTTACGATAGGGATCTAATGGTAAATTGAATAGATTTCCTAATAAAGGTAATCTATTACGTGGACATGGTATACATCCATAGGTTTTTAATACTTTAATATAACGAATAAACCATGTTTTTAATCGAAAGATAATAAGAATAATAAAAATACTAATTAATAATGTAAATGCAATTAATGCCATTTTAACTTTCTATAATACAAAATGATAAATATCTGTTAATTTTTTTTTTCAATTTTTATTGTCAAAAATAGAAAATTCAACTGAGCCATATTATAACAAATGAGGTGTGTTTAACAAGCAAAGACAAATATAAGAATACAACTGAGAGACACAAAAAAAACACGGAGATAATAAAAGATAAGTTATCATATATTATTCTTGTATCCTTTTCGTTTTTTTTTACATATGTCGAGCACGTTTTAACTTTTGAAAATCACCTATAGATAAATCTGTTGAATGAAAATCACGTTTACGTGCTAATTGATTAGCAACTTGTTGACGAACAAAACTTTCAAGTTGTTCAGAATGACCATGTGAAGATGTATCAACAGGATGTGTAGTTTCATTATCTAAAAAGTAAAAAAAAAAAAAAAAAAATAAATTTCTTATCCGAAAAAAAAAGTTTATCTAAAGAATGAACTACAAAAATATTAAACTTATCTTTATACTTTCTAAGTTACAGTCACTTTCATTCTTTAACCTCATTAGATTAACTGCAGAATTAAAATACTAGATTTTCTCTTATTCCGAGAATAGTAATTGAATCTTGTAACTGTCCAGCAAAAACAAGAGAATCATTAGTAGTGTGGATGTACGAGAATAATTATGTTCTATTCACCCACACTAAAAAAAAGGCTAAAATATTCATACAACTTTAAAAGAAGTGTAAGGATAAATTTGATATTTTTTGTAGATCTATATGTTTAAAACAATAATTACCATCCATAACAAGTGCTTGTCGAAATGTTTGTAAATCATCAACAATAGGAAATTGATTTATTGTACCATTATTTGTACTATCAATATCTGTTGAATAAGTAGAACGATCCATTAAATAATCATAAATTTCTTCACAACGTATGTGACGACGTTGTCTACGACGTGTCCAATGTAAAATATCTTTAGTTTTAGTTTGTTCACCATTGAGAATACCGAGTTGAATTGCATCTTTTAAAGCATCAAGACTTTCTAAAAACAAAAAAAAAAGTAGAGATAAATTTATTCGATAAAATTTAAGAAATGATCAACAGAAAAAAAAAGAAAAATTCTATGCATAGAAATAGATATAATCTTAATTAATATGAACATCTAGACAAATCAGAACGATAGTTACAGATACCGCTGAAAGCGAGAAAATTGGTCATTAGATTTAGGTATAAAATTTCAGAACCTTTCATATAGAACTGACTCTATATTTATTCACTTGAGTATAAGATTTTTTGAAAGAAAATTTTTTATTAAATCAAAACAAAAGATATTTTACTTCTTTTTTATCTTAACAACAAATCGTTGCATTCTCATTTAAAATTATTTTTTTTTTTTTGGTGATTTCAGAATATCACAAAGATCATTTAGAATGATTTCATAATCAGAGTTAGAACGAATGCATGACTATCATGTAGATATATTAATATACCAATCAGGCTCCGCGCAAGGGTCCCAAGATTGGAGGATGTAAGGGAGTTTCGGAGCAGCCAATATTGAGAGACGCAAAATTTCTTTTGTATCATATCTGATAATCTTTCTGTTGCGATCAAAATGTAATCATTTTTCGCGAAGCGACAAGTTTTTGCCATCTTCTTAACAAAAAATCGACTTTCTCTGGCAAATTTTCAAGAGAATTCGTGTCCAATTTGAGGAAATTTCTCAATAGTTTTGTTGCCGAAGGCGATCACTCTAGTGAAAATCGTTCTAAATTAAGCTGTTTTGAAGAAAATATTGACTAAAATAGGAAGTTTTTCTAAGATAACTGCGGTTACACAATTGTTATTTTTCGCGAAGCAAAAAGTTTTAACATCTTTTCAGAATTTTCTAGCAGAAAATTCCAAAAACTTTATTAATTTTGCTGGCTAACAATGAATAATTGTCAATTATTGTGGGGCTCCCCATTTTTGCGGGGCCTGATGCCAACAGATCGTGCAATATTAAAATTTGAACAAGACCAATTTGATCACGAGAGAAACGTCATGAACAAAATATGAAAAAACCCAAATAGAAAAATTTACCTTTATAAAGCATTGTAACAGATTCAGCTGCTGTATGAAATGTATTCCAATTATTTGTTTCATTAGAACGTTCTTAAAAAATTTAAATAATAAAAAATAAATATTTTTTTTTCTTTTACCACGAAACATTTTTGTTACATTTGTAGCTGCATTTTGAAATGCAATAAATAATTTTTGTGTATAAAAATCTTGTCCATTAGTTAAATTTTCATGTATCATTCTTTCACATTCATCTTCATATTTTGATAATGCAGTTTCTTCATTATCAATAAATGATGAAATTTGATTTTGACTATGATCAATATTCGACATAATTTCACAATAATTAAAATAAAAAAAAAAGAACTTCTATTAATAATAATAATAATAATCAACCAATATATATATGATACAATTACAATAATGATATGATGTCGCTAGATAATATCTTTAAAGAAACTATTTTCTATTTAGATAAAAATATAAAAAAATACTAAAAATTTTCTTTAAAATAAATAATTATCAAATATAACTTAATAGAAAATAATTCTTAATATTAATTTCTTATTGGTTAATAGAATTTAGGTATAAATTACGCAGCAATATAGATAGGAAAATATCCTTTTTTTGCTTTATACGAAAATAAAATAAGGAAAGAAGAAAAAGAAAAAAAAAAACAAATGGATAAAAATGAAGTAACATCATCAGCAGTTGCTGAATCTCCTTCAAGTAATGTTGAAAGTAATCAACAACGATATGATTCAATGGGTGACGATGGATCACTTTTTGTTGGCAGGTATATTTTCTTTTCTTTTCTTTTGTTTGTTTTCTTTTCTTTTCTTTTTCACTTTAATTTTTATTCAGTCTACCAGCTGAAGTAGTACGTCGTGTTAATGCACTTCGAAATCTTCAAGTTGAACATCATAAAATTGAAGCCAATTTTTTTGAAGAAGTTCATGCACTTGAATGTCGTTATTTAAACAAATATCAACAACTCTATGGAAAAGTAATTTAATAATATTTAATTTTCATAAGATTTTGGTTTTTTTTTTTAGCGTTTAAATATTGTTAAAGGTACTTATGAACCAACAGAAGCTGAAATTAAATGTGCATTTGATGAAGATGAAGTATGTATGATGATTTACTTCTGCGTTTTTTTTATATAGAAATTTTTTGTTTTTCGTATTTATAGAATAATGAACAAACAACAAAACCATCTCAAGAAGAGAAAAAAGATGAAGGTTAGTTTTTTTTTTTCATATGCACTCAACGATGTATATTATCAATATCTACATTACTGTAGATTGATATCAACACTTGCGAAGTGTATAAGGAAAAACAAAATATTGATATATTATTGTAGAATGATATGACCTTGGAATAAGTATTCTAGAAAGAATATATTTACATTCATGTGATATAAGATTTAAAGATGAAATTTATGATAAAAGAAAAAAATGTTTTACATAATGTCCATCATCATTTAGATATAATCGATTGGTTTTTTTTTATTATAGTTAATATTCTATGAAGTAATAACTTTTTTTCATAGAATAAACATGGAAAAATTATTAACAGGAAATAAGAATATTATAGGATTAGTAATGGAAATGAAAGAGTCGCCTGAAGTAATATATTACTTTTGAGTTTATTTTTCTTTTTTGTCATTCAGAGAGGATGTCTAGACTAGAATAATTCTCAAAAGATTAAAGTCCATAGGACAAGATATTGACAGAAATATTTAATCAAAACTATGTAGGACACTCTCATATGTTGTTTTTCTTTTTTTCTATTTTCAGAAAAAGTAGTTGGTATTCCAGAATTCTGGTTTCATGTATTAAAAAATTCTGATGTTATTTCAGAATTAATTAGAGTAAGAAAACGAAAAAAAAAAATAATATTTTTATCTATTAATTATTTTTTTCTTATTAGGAACATGATGAAGAAATTCTTAAACATCTTCTTGATATTCGTATAACAATGCAAAATGAAAATGAACATAAAAGTTTTACTATTGAATTTGAATTTACACCAAATGAATATTTTACTAATACAATATTAACAAAAACTTATGAACTTCGTACAGGACTTGATGAACAAGATCCATTATCATATGAAGGACCAGAAATAATTAAATCAAAAGGTTGTGAAATTCATTGGAATAAAGGAAAAAATGTTACAATTAAAACAATTAAAAAAAGACAAAAACATAAAAATCGTGGAACTATACGTGTTGTTACAAAAGAAGTATCAACAGATTCATTTTTTAATTTTTTTTCACCACCTAATGGTATATTTTATTTTTTGAAAATTGTTAAATTTTATACAAAAAAAAAATATTATTTTTATTTTTATAGTATCAGAAGAACCTGATGCTGAATTAGAAGATAGTGATGAAATGAGAATATTAGCAGCAGATTTTGAAATAGGTCATCTACTTAGAGATTCAATTGTACCAAAAGCTGTACTTTATTATACTGGTGAAGTGGGTGATGATGATGATGATAATGTATTTAAAAAAAAATTTTTAATTATTAATTAAAAAAAAAAATTTTGTTTTCTTTTTTAAGTATGATGAAGAAGAAGAAGATGATGATGAAGACGATGATGATGACGATGATGATGATGATGATGATAATGAACATCAACAAGATACTCATGGTAGTCATCATCATGGTAGTGGTGGTAAACATGGTTCTGGTGGTGTTCGTATTCATTAAATAGTTCAATTTTGACGATAACTTTTTTTTTAAATTTAAAATAGAAAACTCGAGGAAAAAAATCAACTGATACCGGAAATAGTGGTCAACAACCCGAATGCAAACAACAGTAGAACAAAGAAGAAGAAAAAAAAAACGTGCACATGTTTTTTTCTTTTTACAGATGCGATTTTTTTTTTTTTTTTTGTTTGTTCTTATGTTTCTTTTTTTTTCAAAGATTTATTTATTGTTGTTATATCTTGAAAGAAGATTTTTTTTTTTTTTTGTTTTTCAATTAATTGGATAGAGTGTTAAGAAAAACAAAAAATATAAAAAAAAAAACAGATAAGAAAAGAAGAACGAATTTTTAAGTATTTTTCTTTTTTGTTGTTAGAAAAATTTTATTATTCTTATTCAACTATAAGAAATACGATTGTAGACATGTAAAACTATGGTAATGCAATCAAATGAGAGAAAAACAAATTCTAAAAAATGTTTCGTACGAAAAAACATTGAAATTTATCATACAATAAGGTGCATATCAATAACATATGACGATTCATACGTCAGACCAATCGGTCTACCAACAGGTTAATCATTCTTAGGTAGAGTCTGTATACTGGAATAAAATCGGACAATACCGAATTGAACCTCACGCTTAGTGTTCTCAATTAAAAGTTGTTGATTCACACTTGATAATCACTCCCAAGGTATGAGATACGTTTTACAATTATTCGTATCCGATGAGTCAGATACTCTACACATTTTTTAGACAATGCTGGCTATGATTTTTCAAGCATAATTTTATAATTCGTTCTTGCTTTTAGAGTAGCACTCGACAGGCTCTAGTCCAAAATCCATTTCTTGATAATTTCATTTGATGCAAATCAACAGCGAAAAAAAACATCAGTTTATCTATTAATAATAGGGAAAGTAAATAAGCTAGACGAACGACTGGTTAGTTTCATCTTTGATCACAACACTTGAATATTGTACAACATTTTCAAATGACTTCAGAATTAATTTTATATGATGTGTTTGCATTGAGAAATTTTTCTAAATAGTTTATCGGTTGTGATTAAATCATATATTTATGAACGCATCATTAATCACATATGAAACAATTTTTCAATATTCAAACTAATCGATGTATATGCAAATCATTTACATAAGAAGAAAAAAAAATAACTACTTAATTCGGGAAGAAAAAACAACAATATTCACTATTTACGCATGAGTACTATTACATTACTCTTCACTCAATTTGCTTTAAGCGATTGTTGTTTGTCTTATTCTTATTGCATGATGGATAAAATCGACTGTATAGTTTACATTAAACAGAAACATACAATTAATTTTTTTTTTACAAAAGATGAGAACAATTTCAAAATCGATTTGTTGAAAAGAATTCGAAATTTTTAAATTTAAAATATATTTTTTTTTATAATTCTATTTGTACAATTAACATCATATCATTATATAAATATGATTATAAAAAAAAAAGATATATATATATATATACGTTATAATCAAATTAGTCTTCATAATTATTATCATTTTCTTTAATAACTGAAACACAAACATGATTTCGTTTATATATTTTAATTTCTTGTATAGAATTATAATTAGATTGTTGTTCTTGTTCTTGTTCTGGTTCTTCAACATTTTCTAATTCAAAATCAAATAATGCATCAAGTGGTGTTGTTGGCGGATCTTTTGGTATTGGTTTTTGTAATGTACGAGCTAAATGAAGCCATACATCAACTTTTTCCCAATGATTATTATTATTATGATTTACAGGATATTTTTGTTGACTTGGAATATATGTTGATCGAATAGGTACTGAACGTTTACTTGATGATGATGATGTTGTCACACGATTTATTGATGGTAAACTAATTCGATTTGATGATATTGTTGTTGAACTAACTTCAAAATCACTAGAACTATCAGTATGTACAGATGAATTTAATTTTGTATTTGTACGTGTTGTTAATGGTAATGATGATGAAAGAACTGCAAGACCACGATATGGTTTATGTTGATGTGATGATTTTCGTTTTTCTAAATTAGCTTGATTAATTTGTTCAATATGAAGTAAATTATTATTAATTATTTTTGTTGATTGTTGTTTTGAATTTGTATTTATTGTTAATGGATGAAGATAAAGACGACGTGTTAAAATTTGTGCTGTACTACGTGATGATGTATGACGAAGATCATTAATTGTTTGACATAATTCAAGTAATGTCAATGATTTTGGTTTTATTGGATGTGATGTTGTAGTTGACATCATATGTAACTAGAATAATAACATAGAAATTAGACTTACTTTTTTGAAATAACTTATATTAAATTCAAAACAAAAAAAAAAAAAACTACGCTAATAAACACTGACATTATCAATGATTTCTTGTATTGTACATTGGGTTCGTTGATGCATTTTCATTCAACTAAATCTCAAACTAATTCTACTTCGTTTTTCTTTCCTTCATTGATAATATATTTAGACATGTAATTAAACAAAAAAAAAAAAGTCTAATGAAAACAAAATATATGAATATATGTCTTCTTATTGTTGTAACATGATTCTTATGAGTAGCGTCAAAAAAAAAAAAGAAGAAAAGTAACAACATGCCTTATTGAATCTTTGCCAATAATAAAGCAATGTGAAAAAAATATTTTTTTCAAGTATTTAAAAGAAAACATGTCATATGAACAAAATACGCCCCAAAAAGCAAATTTTTCAAATGATGTCGCTTGAGTATAAAAACTGACTAAAAAAACATTATTCTTTATCGATTGGTTGTTTAAATACAAGTTTTCTTTTTTTTTATTAGTTTTAAATATATATATATATATATTTTTCTATTATTTACATAGATTAAAAAAAAAAAGAAATGTCTAAGTCACGATCAAAAGTAAAACGAACAATAATATCATCTTCGACAACACTTGTTGGTATATCTGATGAACATGAATTATCTATATGTTGTTCAAATCGTAATTGTCCATCACATTGGCATAGTCGTTTAACTGAAAAACTTAAACATATTCAACAAACAAAATTAAAAAATTCTTCTACGAATTCATCTACAAATGAATCTAAACATCATTATAAATTATTATATCCAGATATATTATCAAAATTATTTCAAATTAATGAATTAGATAATAATAATAATAATAATCATGATGAAATATATTCAAAACCATTTGATAAATCAATTATACTTAATAAACATGATTTATTTATTAAACAAATATCTAAAACATTTGATAATTTAACATATATATTTAATAAAAATAATCTTAATTTACAAATGAAATATCGAATGATTTCATTAGTTTCTGATCCATTTTCTTATCAGGTTTATAAAACAAAAAAAAAAGAAATATTAATTTTAATTCTTATTTCTTTTTTTTCTGTTCATATTTAGATGGATCGTATGGAAGCTTCAATACAATTAAAAATAAATCTTCTTCGTATAAATCATATACATGTAAATTGTTGTTTAAATTTAAAAATTATTTCAATACCAATATGGAATCGTTCAGCTGTACATGTTATTGTACAAGATGAAAATATGGATTGTCTTCGTTTATCAATATATAATTGGTCATATATTATTGATACAAGACAAATTAAATCATATAAATATATACAAGAACGTTTAATATATTTATTACCAATAAATTCATCTATTATATTATTAGAACCATGGTTAAAAAAATGTTATGATGGTGATATTTCATTACGTTGTGAATCACCAAATACACATTTATTAATGATTGATTTTGAAAATCGATGTTCAACAAATAATAAAATAAATGTTGAACAATTAAGACAATTAGGAAATGATTGTTATCAAATGGATGATAGTTTTAGTGCTATTGAATATTATACATTTGCATTAAAACAACTTGATGAACAACAAGAAAAAGAATTAACATTAAAAGGACAATCAAGTATGTTAAAATATTTCAAATCGGATGACTAATTCGTTTATTGGAAAGTTTTTTTTTTTAATTGAGTAATGAAAATAGCTTTACTTAGATTTTTACGAAATCACAACTATGAGAATCTAATCGATCTTTTATTAATTACAAGAACAATAGATAAATTTTATGAATTATACAAGTCAAACAAAAAAATCAAACTAGTATGTGAATGTTACCGAAGAGAAGACTCATACTCTGGTTTATACTCACCCGAGAGTAAATACTATTGAAGAATAAGTGTTGTGGACACAACAGTCGTTTTTATCTCTGGAATTTCTCACAGATGAATGTATGATATTTCTATAGATAACGCAGAAAAAACAAATAGAGTCATGTACTCATCAACTCATTGCTAAACTGCAAATCTTAAATATTCTCATTCAGCTTTTCTCAGACAAAGAGTTCATGATGCAATATGAAATTTATCGGAGTCTCAAATTTTTAACAAGGGAATGGGTATACACCTATCCATACGCTTCTGGGAGACCCTACGGTAATTTTTCACATAAGTTAATAGAAAGTGTATTTTTTTAAAACTATTGTGTCATGCGGCAGAAGTCCAAACAGGTCATTGGGCCTGTCCACCTGTGATAGACATGAGCCAGACAGGCTAAAGAGATTCATAGCCTGTCATGTAGTATAGACAAATTAAATATTATTCTTCAAACAATGATCTTTAATAAGCATAATTTATTTATATTAAATTGTTTAGTAGGTCCAAAAACTGAAGAACGTGAACAACATCGTATACGTCTATTATCCAATCGATGTGCTTGTTATTTACGTGAACGTCATGCTGCTTTAGCATTAGCTGATACTGGTATTCTTCTTTCATTTCATGAATTATCACGTTTTCTTGAATCACCAACAGCAACAACAGGAAAATTAATATTTCGTTGTTTAAATGCTCATCTTTATTTAGGTTTATATGATAAAGTTGAAAGTTTATTAAAATCTCATAAATTTGGTGTTAGCTTATATGGTGGAGAAAATTCATTAGCAATTGATACACTTGAAAAAGAATTAATAAGATTAAAAGATGAAGCTACAATAGGTCGATATGATCTACAAAAAATAATTTATGAACAAATTAATAATAAATCACAAATGTTTATTGATTTATCTCATCATC